GGGGGAACAACAAAGCAGCAGACATTACCATGGCCGAGCCTCGGATCAGCTGGGCGTGCAGGCCGGCAGCTCGGCCCACCCGGCAGTAAGGGCAGCTGTGATTGGACGAGGCGGGCTGGCAGGCGGAGGGCGGGAGAAAGAGAAATAAGGGCAAGGTGGGCCGGGGCCGGAGCGGGGGGGGTGGAATCCTCCCCACAGCAACGCCCAGCAACGCCCAGCAACGCCGGGGGGCGGAGAGGGGGCCAGATGGGAACGGCAAGATCCTGCAATATAAGAGTACGGGATCCCGCGACAGGAACTTGGTTTCCAGCTCTGCATATATATATATACAGTATATGCAGAGCTGGAAATGCAAAAGCCTCCCCCCCTTCCACGCCCTCGGCACTATCTGTTCGGCGCCAATTTGCAATTAGGGATAGTGCATAATACTAAGTTCAGGTAGCCGGCCTTTGCAATGGGTCAAGTGACGTGTTAAGTTGTACACAGGACTCTGTGTGTGCGGGGGGGGGGGGGAGAGAGGGGAAAGCAGATGAGCAACCCAAGCTTCAGAATCATGGTGTGACTATCAAGCAGTTTGGCAGGCACGCCTGCTTTTCTCTGTTTTAAGAAGGAACTTGACTCGCCCACGGACAGACAGGCGATTTGGTCGGGGACGTTAAGAGAAGGAGCTTCTATGGTTAATGCTGCTGAGATGTCTAAAAGGTGTGCAGCACTCTTGAATGCACCCTTTGTTCACAAGGTGAGAGGGTTTGAGTGTGTCATGGAAGCTGAGAGCAGTGCCATCACAAGACTCAACAGCACGTTTAGACTCCTCTGATAGTGTCTTCCAAAACTGATGGCTATCACTGGCAGGACAGATCCTGAAGCTGAGGCTCCAATACTTTGGCCATCTCATAAGAAGAGAAGACTCCCTGGAAAAGACACTGATGTTGAGAAAGAGTGACGGCAAGAGGAGAAGGGGACGACAGAGGATGAGATGGTTGGACAGTGTCATCGAAGCTAGCAACATGAATTTGACCCAACTCCCGGAGGCAGTGGAAGACAGGAGGGCCTGGTGTGCTCTCATTCATGGGGCCACGAAGAGTCGGACACAACTAAACGATAGCTGAGACACCAAACTAAGGATGTGACTATACTGGGAAAAATATTGCAAATGCTATGGGTTTGGGGCGGTTTGATTCACTTTTTTTCCTCTTGATCACCAGACACAAAAGGAAATCTGAATCAACCACAAGTTTTGCCCCCAAATCCATAGTTTCCCCTCTTCCACTGAGGCTTCTCTTTTACCTCCTCCCCTCACCCTGAAGGATTAATTTGCATGAGTTCGGGCTTGAGATCACTTGAACCAATGCAGAAAAGCCACAGGGCCACATTGAGCAAAGCCTGTGAACAATATTTTTTTTCTTTTTTACAGATAAGGGTGAAACAAGGCTGCTCTTGGAGTCTCAACAAGATCCCCACCTTTTTTTAACAGCTAAGGGCGAGCACACCAAGACTTTTTTTATAGCTTAGAAAAAGGTTGCAAATCTGTATTTTCTAAAAGAATATAGCAATGGCATGACTACTATTGAAGATTGAATAAGGACGTTCAAGAGAAGGATTACAGTTCAGTCTTAAGAAGGGAAAAATAATGGCCATAAAAGAATCACATAACTTTAATGTTAACAATATAGAAACTGAAATTTTCTGCTTCAGTTGTCATTAGCCTAAATAAAAACGTTAGCCTGACACTTGGAATGGCAGAAGAGAAGGATGTTGAAGAGCTCCTGGGGTGTAAGGTCATGTTGCTGGAGACCAAGACCAAGATTATCCATATATATGTATTGCTAGCTTCTGTGCATAGATGTGAAAGCTGACTGAGGAAGAAAGCTGATAGGAAAAATAATTATTTAATTCAAAATGGAATGTTGGAGGAGAAATTTGTGGCTGTCTTGGACTGCCAGAAAGTCAAAAAAGCAGGTTCTAGATCAAATCAAACTATATTCCCTCAAGAAGCTAAAATGTTTACGTTGAGAGTGTCATACTTTGGAGAGGACCATGAGAAGACAAGACACATTAGAGAAAGATGATGCTGCTAAAAAAAGGAGAAGGATGATGTCACATGAGATGAATTAGCTAGATAAAGGAAGCTATGGCTTTTAGTTTGTGGGACTTTAGCAGGGCTGGTAATGGCAAGCCTTTGGGGTGGTTATTAATTCATAGAGTCACCGTAACCCAGGAGCGACCTAAACAAAGAACACATGGAGTAGATAGAACACATTCTATCTATTTAGAATCTCTTAAGACCAGCAGGAGAATGGAAAAATAATGAGATACCACTGAAAAATGTGGCTCATTTAAAGTTAGAAGGTTGCATGTCTGGGGTTTTTATTACAGCAATTACATTGTCTGGATGTGTTCATCTATGGTTAGTTTTTTAAAAAAACAGATTTTGCGAAAATTTAGGGTCTTTCGCTGAGTTTTTGAAAGTCCGACATACGTTGGAAATGAGTCACTATAACCTCTTTAGATGACTACTTGAACATGGCTTAAAGGCACTTTATGCATATTTGACATATCCTTCATTCCAGTTAAGGCACTTTGAAGTTATTGTCAGTAATAAATTATTGAAACTAGAACTGAGTTTTTTTAAACTACAAATCATTTATTATGTATTACAGCTTCCAAAGAAGTGGGTGTGCTAATCTGTCTCAGCATGTTGGCAAAATTGGAGGTGGGGAAGAGAGGAAAAAAATCCAATTGTAGCACCTTAAAATGTAATGGATGTGTGTAAGAAGCAGGGGGAGAGAGAGAGACTCCTCTCTCTGGAGTTCCATCTCTCCCATGAACTGCTGAGAAAGAGAGCCAGAACCCCACCAGTTCCCCCACCCCAGAAGACGAGACCTCATGGACATGACCCGGGGAATTTGGAGGGAGATTTGAAAGGACTCATGATTGCAGAACCTGAGACTACGTTGGTGGGCAAGGGAGAAAAAAGGTGGAAGGTAGTAGAGGCGGGATTGGGGGATATAAAGAAGGGGGAAGGACAGTTGACAGTAGGCTGGGAGTGGATCTGGATAGAAGATCCATGGACCAGAAAGACAGAGAAACTGCAGGTCCTCAAGGAAAAAAACGCGTGGAGGCGGCATGAGTTAAACCCAAACCATCATATTGGGGTGAATGAGAAACTAAGGAGTGGAGAAGGAAGCTGAGAGTGTAAAGAGAGTTGAAAGAGAACGAAGGGAGAAGTTAGAATGGAGAATTTGAGAGAACCAACAGAGGGAATTCCTGGACTCCTGTGGGAGACAGGGGACTGGGTGGACATTTGAGAGGAAGACACAGTCACCCCACTGGAAGGAGAGGAGGGACTACTACTGAATGCTGACACCCCACAGAGTGGCCCGGACCCTGGAATAGCCAGGGGAAAAACCCTTTCAAAGTACAGTGGTGCCTCGCAAGACAAGCGCTCCATTTTACGATGAAATCGCATAATGATGAAGTTTTTGCGAGCGCAAAAGTGATTGCAAAATGATGTTTCCTATGGGGGAATTTCGCTTTGCGATGATCGGTTCCCTGCTTCAGGAACCAATTCTCGCAAAACGACGATTGTCCTACAGCTGATCGGCAGTTTCAAAATGGCCGCTGGGTAAAAAAATGGCCGCCCACTGTTTTCTGGGACGGATTCCTCGCTGCATGGGCAGCGAAAATGGCCGTGCTATAGAGGATCTTCACTGGACGGTGAGTTTCAAGCCCATAGAAACGCATTAATCGGGTTTTAATGCGTTTCTATGGGCTTTTTAATTTCGCTTTACGATGTTTTCGTTCTACAGCGATTTCACTGAAACGAATTAACATCGTAATGTGAGGCACCACTGTAGATGATTGGAACACCCCTTCAAACCCGTTGTCGAAAGGGGAGAACGTTTGGAATGCTTTTGTTGACACTGGACTGTTTTTGAATACCCCAATAAATGTTACCCCCATTTCTAAATGAGGAGAGTAGGTACATTCTTTGACAAAATATTGAAGCAAAATACTGAACCTTCACAATGTGTTTCCGTGTGAGCTTTCATGGATCATAATCCACTTCTATTTTCTGTTTCTTATGTATCTCAGATCAGTGCATCAAACAGAGCAGGAGTGAGCAGATTTTTCTGTTTACTTTCGTTTGACAGGGATATGTCATCAGTGCAATGCACTTCTCATGATATGCTTAGAGTCCTTTGCAACATGTCCGTGTCCTCAGTAGTTTAGGAATTTTTGGCCTACCCAAAATGACCTAGTAGGAGTAGCGTATAGCTGATACATACTGAAACTGAAGTTTCAGTGCACCTAATGAGTACTTCCAGCTTACTGAATCATTACAACAATTCGATTACTTTTCTGTCTTTCTTGGAGCAAGTTTGTTTTGATCTGATATGTTAGCATTCTGAGAATGTTAATATTTGGAGAGTGAGGTGTTATGAATCAACTTTAAAATTATGGTGTTTTTGTGATATCCAAAGATGCCTGTTTTTTTAAGGAACTTCTGCTGCTTTGTGAACATCAGCTGAGCTCATAAGCAGTCTATCATATCCAACAAAAGACAGTTGACTCTTCCTGTACATTGAAAAAATCCCCATGCAGCAGTATTTACTGGTCTTCTATGGCAAATTATGTTGCTCTGAAATTCTGAAAAGACCTATAACATGCCCCAAAGATACCAATTTGTGTTATTTTTTTGGAGGTGAGGGCTGTACATAAACCTTTCCCATTCTGGTACTTTCTAAATAGACTGTGTTTCTTGTTATTCCCAGCTGGCATAGCCATTGACTGGGGCCATACTAGTGGGGATGATGATGTTTCCTAGATGGGGTGAAAACTTGATCTAATTCTTGGCGTCTCTCTGGTTTGAAAATGGGAAGAAGCCTCAACTCTTCTGTTTTCTGTGTGGTTGCCAGTAGGTGGCACCCAATGTTGCTTTAATGAATCCTGCAATGAGCAAACAAGAGTTTGCGGTCATCTCTAAGATGAAAGGAAGTATATTTTCAAACATGACCATAAAAGCATCCTTGAGATTCCTATATGCTCTCTGTAAATTATTGCGCAGTGGAGCAAGTCAACATTCTACAAGGCAGTTCTAAAAATGGGGAAAGCCCAAACAAAAAACTAGAACATTGAAACTGTACATCAGCACCAAATTTGAAACAGAATTAGCAGACAGTCCGCTCTTGCTCTGTGCCAAATTTTAGGAAGGGGATTTTTTAAAAGTCAGATTGCACCCTGTGCAGAAACAAGTGACCCTAAATGTCTCCAGATTTAAAATAGTTCATATAAATTGAAAATATCAATTTTGCTTATTTAGAAACAGAATGGTTGGTCCCACTTGCTTTTAAAATTTATTTTATTTGGAAAGAATCCAGACTACAGGGACTGAAGTATTTAGCCTAAAAAAACCAAACGCCTCCACTTCATTATAAGACTGAGCATGTGTAAAACAGGCTTAACTGCAAGTGCATTGGAGGTGAAGGGAGATGTTTGGAGGATAATGAAAGGTCACAGATCCATCAAAAGACAGGTTTTCTTTGAAGAGTTAAAAAAAATAGGCTTGCTTTAAAGAAAGTGATGGAGTGACAGTCCTCTCGAAAAGGATATTTTGCCATATATGTCCAAGGAAATACAATTCTATTACAATTTTGTAATGCATATTCAAAATATTTCACAAAGTGACACCAAGTAAGCAAAAATCCCATAAGCTGACTCTTTTTTCATCAGTTAACTACTTCTCACCCAAACACAAGGTAATTATCAGGGCTGTTTTTCATCAAGTGTGGATGGGAATGAATACAAGAGGATACCACATAAACCATCTTGACTGCTGCCATTGGTATTGTCAACATTCAGGCTGCCCTTTGCTATGAAATGCTTGGCATCCTTTTTCATTCTGGCAACATGGGCATGATATCATGCAGCAATATTGGGACATTCTTGACCATTTTGAATCATGGATACAGAAGCCCAATTTCCCAAATTCATAAACAGGAAGTTTTTTGAAGAATTGAATATATACTAATACAGTATTATTATTGCAGGAGAGAAAGAGTGCACTGTAGTCTCACAGTTTTATGGCTACCAGCCGTAGAGACACCTTTCTTAAATTTATTTTACTTGGAAAGAATCCAGACTACAGGGACTGAAGTATTTAGCCTAAAAAAACCAAACGCCTCCACTTCATTATAAGACTGAGCATGTGTAAAACAGGCTTAACTGCAAATGCATTGGAGGTGAAGGGAGATGTTTGGAGGATAATGAAAGGTCACAGATCCATCAAAAGACAGGTTTTCTTTGAAGAGTTAAAAATAGGCTTGCTTTAAAGAAAGTGATGAAGTGACAGTCCTCTAGAAAAGGATACTTTGCCATATATGTCCAAGGAATTACAATTCCATTACAATTTTGTAATGCATATTCAAAATATTTCACAAAGTGACACCAAGTAAGCAAAAATCCCATAAGCTGACTCTTTTTTCATCAGTTAACTACTTCTCACCCAAACACACGGTAATTATCAGGGCTGTTTTTCATCAAGTGAGGATGTGGATGGGAATGAATACAAGAGGATACCACATAAACCATCTTGACTGCTGCCATTGGTATTGTCAACATTCAGGCTGCCCTTTGCTATGAAATGCTTGGCATCCTTTTTCATTCTGGCAACATGGGCATGATATCATGCAGCAATATTGGGACATTCTTGACCATTTTGAATCATGGATACAGAAGCCCAATTTCCCAAATTCATAAACAGGAAGTTTTTTGAAGAATTGAATATATACTAATACAGTATTATTATTGCAGGAGAGAAAGAGTGCACTGTAGTCTCACAGTTTTATGGCTACCAGCCGTAGAGACACCTTTCTTCCGCACTACATTTCTGAGGCACTTTTCCCAGCAGTGAGATGAAATATTTTAACTTTACTGTGGTTTTGTTGTACATTCAAGGATTTGGATGAGGTCCATGACCTTAAACGAAGGGATAATTCCTGAGTCAGGGACTTTATTACTTATTACATTTTCCCTATGTCTTTTCCTAGAAAAAGGCTCAATGCTCCTTACACTTCAAATATGTAAATTTAAACACGAAAACCATATCCATTTATAAAACAATACCTCCCCACAAGAACAAACGTGTATGGATCATCAGTTGGTCTTAGGCTACTATTTTTTAAAAACATCAGCCAATTACCTACCATCAAATGCATAGCCCTGCCTTTTAAAAATTTCACTCACCTGCTCATTTGCCATATGATAATTCATTCACCAAATGATTTTCCCCCACCAAGTTTTATGTACACTTGCCAGTCAAAACCCTTGCCAGTCTATTATCTGATTCTGACTACATATAAATCTATAGACAAATTAGAGGGTTGTCCTTGGGAAAGAGGGCTACTTATGTAATCAGTAAATCAAATGGTGGGTCACCAAGGTGAAACACCAAGCACAGACTGAAAACATTAGAGCGCCACCTCCAGAACAGAAATGTAATTTTACAGTTAAAAACTGTTATTATGAATAAATGTCCACGATAGCTTAGAAAAATCTAGAGAATCTTTGGATGATACTAGTAGTGTTCTCAGAAAGGCATGCTATCTTTCTACTCAAAGCTTGGAAAATAAACTTTTGAGGACTACAACACCCAGAATCCTGGGCCTAGCACAACCATTGCTCCTGGTGGTTGGAGAACTCAAGTATAACATGTCCAAACTCAACTCCCATACTGCAGCTAACGACAACATAATTATGTGTTAGTAATATTACAGCCTACATATGATGCCTTTAAGCAGTTTTGGCTGTCAGGGATCTTTCTGGACTGTGGTGAATGTATATCAATCTAGTAGAAGCATGTTGTTCTCTCTCTACCTCAAATTCTGAAGAGAGATATGCCCCTCTATTTAAGTTTTTCTTTTTCTGCTCTTTTCAGTCAGAGTTAGGTAGTTAGTTTGGTCAGCTAGTTGGTCACTAGTAGAAGCTTGTTGTTCTCTCTCTACCTCAAATTCTGAAGAGAGATATGCCCCTCTATTTAAGTTTTTCTTTTTCTGCTCTTTTCAGTCAGAGTTAGGTAGTTAGTTAGGTCAGCTAGTTGGTCATGAAGCTAGTTAATCAGTTAAGCTCTGTTCTTGTAACCAGTCACTATTTTTCTACAGAAAAATACAGAACTGAGTAAACAGAAAGCTTTTTATTATTTTTCTAGCCAGTGTTTTTGGGTGAATTATTGAGACAGGAAGTGCCCATTGAGGTGAACTAAAAAATAAGGGTGGTATACTAAGGGGAGACTTGAAAGTAATTCTGCTCTGTAGGTAGGTCCTTGAACCTTTTCCACTGCGTAGCTGGAGGTTTTTTAAGCCATAAATTTCCACACTTTGCCAATATACTATAATGGGTGTGCAAAAGAAACAAAGGAAGGCTGTGAGGAGAGCATGAGCTGAAAGAGACACAGTGCTAAGCTCTGAGCTCTGGAAGGATGTTCAGCAGCTGCCTGCGTGGAGGTCTGATGGAGTTGTGGGGAGTTAGGGTCTCTGCTTGAATGTTTAAGCTGTGTGCGCACGCACACACACACTGGTCTCCTTGCAGTCTGAGGCCCCTTTCGCTGAGTGAGTTCTTGGGCATCCGGCCCCAAGTCCTATCCTGATTGGCCAAAGGATGGAAAATAACCTCTTTTTAACACATGGCCATCCTTGGCATCTTTGAGTTAAATCCAGAAGATTTCAGGTCCCCCTCCCTTTCCTGGCTGGCCCCTTTCTTCCTCATAGGCGATGGCTCTGATCTCCTTCTCTGAGGTTGTGATGAAAGTTTTTGCAGCCAGCACTCAGCAGGGATTAACGGTAAAACATGAAACACAAGTTTGCTTTATAATCTTCTCAGAGCCTGGATTAGTGTGGCTACAGAGCTTTTGCAAGGCAAGGGCCATGGGCCTCTCCCCTGCAGAGAGAATCAGGGTCAGGTTTAATTCAGCATTTGCGACAAGGAGACTTTTATCTGCCTGAGCAACCCAGCCACAGTAAAGGAGGTGACTGGTCCACAGGGTTTGTAAGCCTCAAAGGTGGACCCAGGGAGTTCAATGGGACGTATGCCTATAGACATGCAGATGGGACTGGGGTGCATACATTGCTGGAAGATTCCTGCCTCCCCCAACCCCAATATTTAGAGAACAGTATTGAATGTCAGAAAGTTTGGGGAAGGGGTGCCATCATTTGGGTGGTCTCTGCTCCTGTGTGTTTGGCAGGGGTTTGGGCCTGCTGGTATGACCAGGAGGTGACACTTGCCTCTAAGCTCATAAAAGCTTTACCTGTGGTTGCTAGGGTTTCTGTTGCTTAGCATAGGTCACACTGCTTTGGGTTAATGAAAGGAAAGGTGGCTCTTTTCATTTCTTTAAATGCCGTGAAGGAGCCTTCTAGCCTGCTGTGTCATGGCCACCTGACCATTTAAAAAACACAAAACTGATCAGACGGTTCTTGTGCCTTCTAGCATCACTTTTAGCAACAGAGATAGTGTTTCATAGCCTGTAGTTAAACACTTAGCAGGTGTCAAGAGTTGTACAACCAAGCTCAATTGTAATGGCAATTTAAAAAGCCAGCAGTCCCTCTGACTGTGTTGTTCTTTTGTGAGGGGAAGGCAGTTGGAACTTCCTGATTTGTTTCCATGGAACTCATGGCCACCTAGGCCGGGTCTTTATACAGCTTCACATCTACGCACTCTCTGGACCTACATCGTCTGACTTGAGTAAGTGGGCTGCATCTGGAAACTGTCCTGCACCAGAAGCAAGCTAGCCAAACAAAAAATTTGCCTTTTATTTTATTTTTAGGCCACCTTGCTCCCAATAAGGGGACCCAAGACAGTATTAAAAAGAACAGAATTAAAAACATACATTATAAATTAAAAACCAATCAAACTCTAAAACTTATTATAATACAATTTAATAATTAAAACAGGTAAACATTAAAAGCTATCTTAATCTTAACTTTAAAAAGGCATTAAGGGACTCAATCAAGATTGTTAAAAGCCTGCCTGAAAAGATGGCTCTTTCTTTAGCTGTCGGTGGAAGGATAAAAGGGTGGGGAGGCCAAGTAGCCTGGACCTGTTATTTCTGTCAAAGCCAAAGCAGATTCTCCTTAAAAAAATTTTTTTTTCTTCCCCATCTGGCAGATGGCAGAAGCAACAGCAAGAACCAACCACCTCTTTTGAGATTTCCGGGCCAGGGGAATCTTCTCTCTGCCCTTCTCCTGACCACACCCATCCCATTTAAGCCCTGATGAACATCTTTGCAATATATGGTCTTGCATGTACCATCACACTGATTACAAGCACTAAGCACCATTATTGGCCAGAGATATTATCTCTCAGAAAATCCCTCCTGGAAGCTAAGCGGCAGGAGGAGGGGCATGTTGGTAGGGAGAAAAGCTGTAATTAAAATAAAAGTAAAAGCCCATCAATTTCACACTTCTGTTTGGCATAGAGGAAAATTCTCCCTTGCCTTCAGAGAGAAGGGTGATTTAATGGTAAAATAACATCTATTCCTTCAGCCTTCACAATGGCCCCCAATCTGACTTTTGTTACAGAGCAAAAAAATAGCATGAAGTTGTAGCCTGTATCCTATTGAGCTTCCAGTGAACAAAAAGCAAAAGTCTCCTCGTAATAATGCCAGATCATGATGCTTGCACAAGTGTTGCCAGCACACAATAGGATTCCATGAAGAAAGCACTTGTGCAAGAACAATAGTTACATAGATGGTGTGATCCTGCATTATTGTACTTGTAGACTAGTTCCAGAAAGAAATGGCAGCATGCCCAGGAACTGATGCCTGGCATATGCAAGAGCCACTCCATTAAGATCCCAAGAAGGAACAAAGTAGAGAAGTGAAGCAGTCCTTTATAACACCATGCAGGTGACATATGTTGCGATGCAAAACAGCACCTGGGAAATCTTGTTTCTGCTTCAGCTTAATCAGTCAGCCAGTCAGCCCATTTAGAAAACATCAAGATTATACAACCAGATTTTTTTTAAAAATGCCTTTAGCAATTGTCTTATAAGTACTGATAAGAAGTACAGGTGGCAAGTGGCATTTTTTTTTAAAAATGTCATTCTCCCTTCCTTCTCTCATGTCTGAGAACTGTGCCTGTAAAGACACATTTATACCTCATCTGAAAAAAAGAAGGACAGGGTATGCTTTTTGTTTAGGAACATGCAAACACACCAAGGTGCCTGCGAGCAAAATGCTAGCATCTCAGAGGGGAAAATATCTCGTTCCACTCCTGAGATGCTACTGCTCTGACTGCAGCACACTTTGTTTAACAATCTGAAACGGTATTGATTGTTCTGGTTTCTTTTACCTCTTCTTATCAGCATGCTTGTTTTCCCCCATGTCATTTTTCCCTGGATGGGTTGGGCTACATCTCTCATCATCTCCAGCCAGAATAACCACCATTCTACTTAGGGGCGATGGGAGGCTGTAGCCCTCTCCATGTGGAGGGTGCCAAACGAGGGAGGGCTGCCCTCAGCAACTGAAAAGGAGGTGGAAGGGTTGTGGGACTTAAGGATGAACCAAAAAGGGGATGCGTGGCTGTCACCATCCCCTACCTGCTGCCACATCTCTCTAGGAACATTGAATAAGAAGGAGTGGAAGATCCTGCTGGAAGTGAGACCCATGTTAATGTGAAGTCGGCTGTCTCACTCAACCAGACATTGCCAGGGAGGCCTGGTGTAGCAGCAAGACCTGTCCACCCATGAGAAATAATCAAGCCCTTCTGCTGGAAGCAGACAGCAGCTTTTAAGACAGTAATCCCCTAGGTCAGGGTGGGGAGCATTTGGCGTGCCAGATGTTAATTCACAGAGGTGTTACTGCATAGCTAACAGCAAAGGCTTGTGGGATTCGTAGTCTAAAGCACCCAGAGGACCAAAAGCCCCCCTTCAGGCAACTGTCTACATAGTAAACTGGGAGTGAACGGCAATAAATTCAGTAGAGATTGAAAAATGATAATATTGCTTTAATAGTGCTATTGGAAGCCAGTTGGAAGGATTCGTTGTCCTTTGGTGTGTACACCCACATTTCTCTTGCCCTATTATTATATACTGTACACGAGTGTTGTGGCACTTTAAAATTAACATTTATTATGGCACTGCTTTTTGATCATGACACGTTTTTAGCCACTTGTATGGAATGTTATCCCATGAAATGGTTTGTAGTCTGTGAAAGTTTGTGCCATAATAAATGGATTAGTCTTTAAAGTGCCTTGAGGCTCTTCCTCACTGTTGTTGCTGCAACTTACTTGCCCAGCTACTATTCCCTGGTGAACAGATGAGAAACTTGCTACTTCTGACTGAGAAGTTCCAGAGGCAGGAACAAAACATTCCTTTTCTCAAGGTGTAAGAGCACTAGAAACTGATCATACTGCTGTAGCATCTGCTTTATTTACAGCTGCAGAAGGAGAATGTATGGAAGTAAACAAACATTCACAAAGCATGGAGCAGATCCTGACAGCTTCCCTCTCTAAGATTTTCCCCCCAGTTCCAACTAGTACCAACTGGAATAACTTTTTTTCCTGTCTCTGCCCCTTTCTCTCTTACCTTCTGCAAGATCCATTCCAAATAAGCATCTTATTTCAAAATCTAGGAACAGGACTCAGCAATCAGGAGACTATCTCCTATCATGACCTCCCACTGTTGAAAAATCAGAGAACCACCTTGGACTAGGAGCAAGCATTCAAACGGATAAAGAATGGTTTGCCTGTAGTTCTAAAAATCCTGCCTTACCATAGATGAAAGAATGAGAATACACAGCAAAAGTAGTGATTCCTTTCACCCTTTTGAGGTAACCTCAACATTCAAAGAAGCTTATAACCAAACACTTCCCAGGGATAAGATGCTCATGGATAATACAAATCAAATTTCAATCTCCCCCAGGAAGAAGGAATGCACTGATCTGTCACAACTTTTGAGACTGTTTTGGGTGGATGGGTAGAGTGGAATGCTCCCCTGAATCTTCTTATTTCTTTTCAAGATAAGCTATTAATCATTTGAATTGCAAACCATCTAATTTTTACCAGAGCCACTGATCCTTCTTTAAGTCTTTGCAACTTAAGTTGAGCATTATTTGAAAGACATTAATATATGTTTTGCCCTGTGATGAGTCTGATCAAGGGAGAGCTTCATGTTCGATGGTTTGCAGGCCAACATTTCTCTCCTCTCTCCATCTCACTTCACTGGAGATGCAAGGGATCAAACTTCATGCCTCAGACTGACCCATCCCTGTTCCACCACCAAGCTTTCTGCATTTTGAATCCACACACACACGTCCTTCGCAGATGGGCAACTGACAGGCAACTGGAACCATTTCCACATCTTTTTAATAGGTTTAGAAAGGGAACAGTAAACAACCTGTCACTGTCTGATATACAAGACATCTTCACTGGGTTTACACACAATTTAACAACAGTGACATGGTGTATAGAGCAATCATGGGTCTCTTGGCGGGGGAAGAAAGGGCCACGCTTACTTTCCATTTAAGGTTAAGAGAGGGGGTGATTCTGACATGCAGCCAACTGGGCAGGGCTCCAAATAATTTGGACGTGTTTCAAGTATATCCCTGTGTGTGTGTGTGTTCTTTTCTTCTTCTTTTCTTTTTCCCGGAGCATGGCTGCTGCACTTCTGTCTCAAGGCAGATCGAGAATTGCAGTACCAGTGCAAAGGTGCAGGCCGCTTGGGAAGGTGTTGGGTCCTTTTTAAGAAGAAAGGTGGGATAAAAGTATTTTAAATAATAATAATAAAAATACATAAGAACAATTTTACCCACAAGAGACGAAACATACCTCAGAAGTGTGTCTGTGAACCCCCACCTGACAGCGCCTGCCCAAGGCAGGGGTCTCTTTGTTCTGGTTACCTGTCTGAAGATCTTTCATGAAGCATTTGCAGCAAAGAAGTTATAGATCCTCTAGATGTAAGAAAATCCAGACAAGGCAAGGAAGAGAAGAAGAATCACAAGGAGCACAATTCCCAAAGAAGTCTCGCCTACTCAGTGTGGACCCACTTCCACCCTTACATCCGCTTCTCTCCTGTGATTGCCTTTTTCTCACCTCCACAAAGTGCTGCAGCTAAGAATGAAGCAGGCGACTCCCCTGAGCATCTTTGCACACCCCTTTCCATCCCATGGCGGTTAAGCCTCGATCATCATCACTTCAACCTCTCGTGAGGGTCTCCGGTCCTTCACCAGCATGTTGATCATGCTCTCGGACTTGATCAGCAAGTTGCAGCCTAAGAAGAACACCCCAAAGACCACTGTCAGGCAGAGGACACACAGGACTGCAATCTGTACCACCCTCCCCACATTCTGGTTCTTCAGTTCCTCTTCAGGCCCCCAGGCCCCTGTCACTAGCGAGCAGCAGGAGGTCACGAGGGAGTCCACTGTGAGCGGAACCGGCCCTGGAGAGGTAGCATCTTTGACCGAGGCAGTGTTGTTTGTCATCTCTGAGCTGCCAAGGTGATCACCAGAGCGAGCCTCTCAGTTCAGGCTCAGCCAGACTCCTTCCAGCAGCCCTTCGCTCACCCGCCCGCCTGCAGCATAAGTGCTCCCTGAGCAGGATTGTGGCTGAGGGTCAGTGACAGACGGGGAGGGCTTAGAGGAAAGTGATGTCAAGATAAGGATTCTCTTCCAGCTGTGGTGGCGGGGCAGATTGCCATCACGGTCTCTGTCTCTCTCCCTCCCTCCCTGTTTTAGAGTTACTGGGGAAACACGTTCAGGCTTGAGGCAGAGCCTAGAGGACTTCAGATCTCCCCTCTCCTGTGACCAGGGCCGGCCCTGCCATGAGACAGTGAAGTAACGTTCGGCATTAGGTAGTAAGGGGGCAGCAGGCCCTGATCATCTCCCTATGTTGCAGGAGAGATCTCTGTTGAGAGCCCACCCTGCACCCCATAAGCAAGATTACTGACCCCAGCTGGGTGGAGGATGTCATGCCATTACTAGTTTTGGGTTAGGGTTCAATATTGCGCTTTTATTGTGGCCTCAGACTCCCTAGTCCACAAAAAGTTAGTGGAAAGTGCCTAGATATTGTTGTCTTCAGTCTGCAGCTCTCCAATATTTTCTAATTGTTTCTTCTGACATTTTTATTGTCAGAAAAAGGGTAGAATAGCTGCAACCCACCCACCGCCCCACCACGCCAATCCAGTGCTGTTTCACACTTCACTATTAATGAAAATTACAACAAAGAGGATGATGGCAAGGATGATAATAACTGATAATAGCAAACAGATGTATACTTTTATTACCTGATGTTAGCCGCCTAGAGTGGTCCTGAGTTGGCTAGATAGGTGGGATATAAAATAAATAAATAAATAAATAAAATAAAAAATAAATAATAAATAAATAAATAAATAATAGCTACATCACAGCTACAAAAACACAGCAATATTAGGAACAGCATACAGTATATACAATGTCAATATTTAACAGATTCTTCGGTTTTTGGTTAAAACTTGTAGCTGTTAAATAATACCAGTCAATGTTTTTGTTATTTTGATGGACTGGGCCTGGTATTTTTTAATAATAATAATAATTCCAGCTTTCCCCCACTCCCCATAGTGGGGGAGTCAGGAGAAGATATGGGGGGCATTAAGACTCAGAGGAAGGAACAGGACAAATAGGGTTGGCTTCCAGATGCTGTGTATTTAATATCAAAAACACCAGACCTTTGCATATGGATGCAAGGATCGTTCTAAAACTCAGACTGTACTTTAAATCAATCTTGTTTAGTGAGTCCATTCTACTCTAGGAAAACTATATTGTGTGATTGTATCCTTTGTTCCAGGGGCAGAATTTAGTGCTATTGTGCTTCCCATGGAAATTCATTTCTCCAGTTAACCTTCTTGTTCTATTAGTTTCCAGTAAGTTAGAAACATACACAAAAAACAGGTCTGGATGGGGAAATTATAGCAGAGAAAAATGATTTTTTTAAAAAGATTTCCTGTGAAAAAGCTGTGTTTTGGAGACATGTCTTTTAGATGGAGGTTTGGACAAGAATTCTGATAAGCCTCTTGATCATTTGTGTCCCAACAAGAGAGAGGTGGAATTTTTTTCACCTGCCTTCCACAGTCAGTCTCCTGTTCCCGAAAGCAACAGCACAGAATATTTCAGAGGAAAACATGATTCACTCCAAAGATCAGAACTGAGAGTTTCTGAAAGTCTCTTCCCTTCACTGTTTCCCCTAAACCACAGCAAATAGCTTACTGCTCACTACTACTGTCCTCTCCCCCCCTCACACACACACAAACCTTCATTTAATATCTTCCTGTTTAGTAGGGCTACCTCCTAGATATTGAATCAGGCTGCATAGGAACAAAGTACTATGGCTTAGACGCACTACTGCTTTTTACCACATGCAGGAGCAGAACTATAGAAGCCAGTATGGCTAATTGACAAAGTTCACTCTAGCCGCCTAGAGTGGTCTAGTACGACCAGATAGGCGGGATAGAAATAAAATAA